TCTACCAGCTGAGCTACGAGGCCACATCAATAGCACTGATTATTTCACATTCGAATTTACCCATCCAACTTACAGAGGCATGTGACATCCACCAGTAAATTCGAATGTGAAAAGATCAGTGTTATCGGTGTGACCTCGTAGCTCAGCTGATAGAGCATGCGCGTACAAAGCGTAGGCGCCGTCCATGCGTGGGTTCGAATTCCACCGAGGCTACTGAACTTTTCACAATCGACATACAAATACCGTATTGTCCGATGTCAGTTTTTCTAAACGGGATTCTGAAAATCATGCAGTTTTAGCTCCAAACGATAAGATTAATGGATTCTGTTGCAGGAGGTGTAAGTCGATCTAATTAACTGTCCATTCTAAGAGTATGCTAATGATCGCTGCGTGGTGTCTCGGGTTTTTCGGAAATCCCTCAGTTATTTCATGTTACCAAGATTTTTAGGCGTGTTGATACGCGTGTGCATAGCTTCCGCACTGATGAATATCGATCAGGGATACTATGGCCCCTTTCTCAAGTGTAAATTGCCAGGATTACATGCACTGGTGATGCGGAATCTGGTGGACCAGATGTTACTAATAATTAGAGAAAACGAAAACCATATAACAGACATGGTGTCGAAAAATGCCCAGCGATAACTTATCGTTTTCGCAACCTAGAATTTGTATTTAGGTAATAGATTTTCGTTCGCTACTTTGACAGATTTCAGATGAAGACAATCATAATAGAATGCCCACGTCATCTTTGTTAATTATTCATGTTTTTGGTTCGAAACAAACATGTGAGGGCAACTCAGTCACTTATATGATGAGACTCGCGCTTTGGACCCACGCACAATTTTTATGACTGTTTTGTATCAGTAACCGCGGTTCTTTTGGTACTGTAGTGTAGTGTAGTCGGGGTGATTAGTTTCTTCTCTTTCTAATTTCCCCTTTATAATCCTCCATTCGGGTCCTCTAACTGATTAATTCAGGATAAGGTTGACTCATCGCAACTTCGCGAACTGGAGGAACTAGAAAAACGCCGCATTGAAGGTATCAAACAATTGGCCAATTATCAAGAGAATCAGAGACGAGAGATGCTTAAACAACAACAAAAGGAACGTCTTGAATTGGAAAATCGCATACGTTCGCGCAAAGAATCCCTGGAAGCTGCTGTAAGTATTGCATCAAAAAGCACGATTGACTATTCCATAGGATTGTTGATGATGTTGTTTCTGGTCTCTCTTTGGCTGGTGCCATTTGTTGCAATCAAGAATGCATTTTTCGATTATCTGAGGTTTAGGTCTATCTCGTTAAAAGCGTTTCACCCATCGAACTTTTGTCTGAGTTGCTTGATGCACGTCAGTCATTGTACGGAGTTTTCGTTTAATATAAATCCTAGTTCGATCTTAACTTTAACGGTTAAATGTAGATGTGTAGCATGACGAGGTGGTAATGTGTTATGTTGTTTGATCACGACTTGGGTTTATTGTATATAATATAGTATAGTGCAGTATATAATCACAGTATTTGAGCTATTGGTAGTCTTCTCTCAAACAGAACACTCGTTCCGGGTTGAATGAACCGTTATTGGTCCTAATTGGTTGGTTACGTTGCAGTCACAGTATCTCTATCAAACTGGCGCACAGTACAACCGGATGTAAGCGTGTATTTCATGCACAACCAAATGGTTCAGTGACCGACAAAAGCCTGTTTCATCCTTACTGACCCTAATCGCGAACTTTAGAACTGCAAAACAAACTGTTATCCCTGAACCACGGCTGTGATAATCATTTCGGGCGCGTGGCTATAATGTCTTCTATCGTCCACACGAGCTGATAGACATCAGGGTCTGCGTGGAGTTCTCGTACAGGTAAAAAACTACCCGTAGCATGGCGTTTGAAATTTTGCAATGTAATATACAATATAATTTCAAGTTATTATCGTAGTCACTCACTAAACATCGAATGATAATCCGTATTGAGCTCGAAGTCATTGGCTACTCTAATTTCTCCTGAGTCAGCTGGGTGTCAGAAAAAGCTTCTCTATAGCTGACGAGCGTCGAACCTTGAACAGTGGATACTAGGGCGGACTGTAATTGGGTAATATTCCTTCGCAGACTTCGAACGAAACTTCACCCATATGTCTCGGTTTTTCCTTTTACAAGGTTCATTTTTTTATTTCACGAAATGAATATAGTTAAAGGGGTAAACCCTATGATCCGAAGGTTTACTGTAAGTGGGGTGGTATGGGGAACATTCAAGCTAGAACCAGCTTGTTGATTCTGCGTTTTAAAAACATGAATGTTGTACGTTAGAGGGAAGAACAAAGGGGGGAGAGTGTTCTACAGTTGTGCTGTTCTTGGGAAAAAAGAAGATTGAAAGTCGGAAATGTGACACCTGGGGATAGACACCTGAAATGGGTTTCTAGCCGCTTGTGCACTGGATCTACGAGGAAGAACTAGTGGGAAAAGGACAGATACGCAAAGTTCATCTAAGAAAAATCCAAAATAGTATCGATAGAACAAGGATAAAGAAGCGACTGCCCGACAGTGAGCTAGTGACTGCAAGTTGGATGTTAGGGACGGGTCGTTGATGAGATGAATGACCTTGCGTTAAACCCGATCAAGAAGAGATAGTGGGGTAGACGAAGCTCCACCCCCACACATGACTACAGTATTCAAGTGTAGGGCGAATCTGAGCTTTGTCAAGTGAGAGGAGGTAAGTGGGGGTAAAGCAACGTCAGACGCGGAAGAGGAAATCAATTTTGCACGCAGCGCGGGAAACAGGTAGATAAATATAAGGTGACCATGAAACAGATAAGGAAAGACCCAATAGGTTGTATGATTCTGTGGAACGGAGTATTCGAGTTGAAATTCAAGGGAGGGGAGAAAGATGTGTGTTTAAGAGAAATGGACATAAGGGAAGTTTTACTGGTATTGAACAGAACACGGGTACTACAGTCCGAAGCAGAGCTAAGGCCCAAATCAGAATTTAGGAAGAAACTAAGGGAGGATCGGTCGTTCTTAATGCTGGAGTTAGGTATGCTCGAAGAGGAATACGACAGAGAGGAGTGTAGAGTAGCGTCATTGGCAAGGGCGTGAATAGGATCTGAAGTTGAAGAAAGAAAGTCATCAATAAACATCAGAAAAAGGGAAGGTTAAAGTACAGATCCTTGAGGAACACTGGCAAACGAGATATGGTCCCATCTGCTCTAACAGAGATGCTGCGATCCTTCAGGTAGCTTGCTGTCCAGGACACAAGTTTCGGAGGAAAGCCAAACTTGGGTAGTTTAGCCAGCGAACCGGCGTGCCAGGCACTATCGCTAGCTTTCGATATATCCAATGACACCGCATGGGTTTCCCCGTGGTTGTTGAATGCCGCTGACCATGTATGCGAAATGAGCGCCAGAAGATCAACGGTAGATGGATGTGATCGGAAACCGTACTGGCGGTCGCTAAGCATCTTGTTCTGCTCCAGGTGGTGGCGGAGTAGATCAGTAACAACTGATTCCATAACCTTCGAAATGACTGGTGTGAGAGAGATGGGGCGGTAGTTGGTTGGGTCAGAGTGGTCACCGCGTTTAGTGATTGGAAATATTTCTGATGTTTTCCATGTGGTAGGGAATATCTCGGAATTTAGAGATAACGGAATAAGCGAAGTAGGAGGGGAACCAGTTCTGGGGTCCACATTTTGAGGACAATGGGAGAAATCCCGTCGGGTCCAGGTGGCTTGTGTGGATCCAGCGACAAGAGAATCTGACGTATTTTTCTGGTG